AACACTGGCATATAGGCAGGGAGGGCGAGTGGGCAGGGATCTTGGCCATTGCGAGCAAGGGCGGCACGCTGCTGCATTGCGAGTGTGCCTGCGCTATGCTAGGATGAGTGAGGGCAGGCTGGCGCTAAGCGGTAGAGCGCAGCCTGGGCGCAGGGCGCTGGCGGCCATAGCCGGGCTGCCTGTGGGCGCAGAAGAGGTGAAGGGCGAAGGTGGTTCTTCAGAGGTGAAGGGCGCTGTGTGGGATAACAAGGGAGAGTGAGGGTGAAGAGAGAGACGTACCTGGTGGAGAGGAGGTCGACATTGGTGTTGACATCATCACTCGCTGGTCAAGTTGTCTGGTTGCTTCCATGCTGTAGTTGTAGTGATAGGCTGTAGAGTAGGTAGGGCGCCTGGCGCCATTCAAGAGAGGCATGAACACAACATTACATACAACATACATTCATGTGCACCTGATGTCCATGTTGATCACCCTTGTTTTTGTATATGATGTGTGAGGAGTACCCATACATATATTAAACACCCATGTTGTTGTATAGGTTACCGTAGAACAAGTGCATACATACGTGGGCTACCAGATGGGCCACTCTGGTCATCTCGTTTGTCGGGCTTGCCTGGCCTGCAAGGACCAAGGGAGGGCCCAGTAAGGAAAAAAACGAACTGCATTAACTCAACGTAGAATATGCAATAATCTTGAGCTATGCGTTGACATTTGGGTCTAAGGGAGTTATCAGGGGCCGAAGGCCACACCCACGTCACAGAAATGGCCTTATACGAGGCCCGCTGCTGTGGGTATGGGACGCCCGGCCTAAGGTGGGCTTTCAAGGCCCTACGCGCGACAGTTGACTGGGGAAGTCAAAGGTCAACAGCAGCTTGGGAATTCAGGCTCACGAGTCAAATTCAATGTGGACCTAACCCAAGCCGCTGATCAGACACACACATTGGTCGTTTGTAGGTGTCCGCCACGAATCCAGTCCAAGTGGGAATGCTGGGCGAATGTATTCAAGAGAGCAGAGAGGCTGGTCAGCCTCGAGTCACTATACGTTGACCCAACGGTCCCAGCCCTTGCTGACTGACATTCATTCAGTCTTACACTTGCTGCTCGACGTTGGCTGGACACTAGCTCTACAATGGCTTTGCGCTGGCTTGACATTGGACGATGATGCGAGATTGCTTGGCGTTTACTTGACGCTGGCGCCATCTCTGTCTTGGCGCCAGCTGGATCCGAGGTTATGCTGATGTGGCGCTGGCCACACTAGATTATGCTGATTTGGCATTGGCCATACTGTCGGCAATATTGATTGGGATCAAGGCTGTGAGATTGGTTGATCGAAGGGAAGCTTGTTTGATGACATGTCGACATTGCACACCGCTGATCGTCTTCACGAGGTATCTGCATTGACAAGCGCTGCATGAGATCGACTTTGTGTCCAATTGTGTCAGAGGAGACCGTTTGTTGATGTGGGAGGATGCCCGAAGTCGAAGAGGGGAATTAGGGGAGTTCTATTTGTTAGCTGATGGTGACTTTCTATTTCACGCTCTTAGTCTCATCTCTCCCCCATCTTCTTCGTCTTTGGTGACAAGACATCGGGCTACTTGATGGTGTATACGATTATTTGGAGACATTGAGACTGCGCTGAGACATTCTGTATTTTGACATTGACGAGCGTCTCCTGACTGGGTTCATTGCAAAATGAAAGAATCTTAAAAAAGACATGTAGAAAAATCATTTTAACAACTTAAGCTTCAGGGTCACCTGGATATTCTTTACCAAATTTAAAATAAGAAAACTTTTTAAAAAATAGAATCTTGTTTATATATATTTTTTGGCCCCGTTGGGCAAATGATCCCAAGTTACTGTGGTAACCTAGATACGTACATACATTCATACACATACATGCATATGCAAGGAATATGAGTGGGAATGATATACATAAAGCCAAGTTGCAAAATCAGACAGATGTCCAAGTAGTCGTGTACAGGCAGAGAGCATAAATGCATCGAGATTCCATCCCAATAAGAGCAATACAATGAAGTAATGAGCCAATGTTCAAGCCCTCAGGCTACACCAACACAATATCCAAAGTTGGTCCTGTTTGTCTGCCGGCCAGCTCACAGCCTACACGACTCACTATCCTACCTACATCGGTAGTCTCGCAACAGGCTCACTTAGACTCTCGAAGACCAATGTGCGTCAACCCCATAGCCGACCTCTCCCATGTACCAGGTATGTATCTCTTCTCCCCTCATCAAACCTTGTCCACCCACACTCGCCTCCTTCCTGAAGACCACCGATCGCCCTCTCACCCCCTAGCGCCCTGCGGTCCGGCTATGGCTGCTCGTGCTCCGCTGCCCAGCAACACCCCCCTCTTCACCTCACATGCGCCCGCACGTCCTCTGGCCTCAGCGCAGCACGTAGCCTCTAACGCAGCAGCGTGGCCGCATTCCTTGTGTGGGCCAGAGTGCAGACCCTGGCTGACCTCTTTCCTATATGGAAGTGGCAGCCTGCATAGGACTAGGATATGTATGTCAACAATGCTGTTTTTGCGTAGGCTTGTAGCCCCTTGATGGGAACTGTTTTGTCTAAGTGAAAGGTGCAAGCTTTGAGGCATGAAACATAGGGTAAGAGCGAACGTGACCAGGGATTCGTATTACGTACGAGGGACCATCCAAATCACTGCTCACAATATCCAAGACTTCCCTGGGACGTAAGTACTGAGGCATTAGTTTTCTATAGATGTCGAACTCCTATCCCAACTCACTAGCCTTGACCAACGCACGTTCCCCTATTTGAAATCTGGACTGTCTGCGATGCTTGTTCTAAGAAGCGATCATTGCTTGCCGAGATTTCTTGATGTGTTCGATAGTCTACTGCAACAACTCATACTGGACGCCGAATTCAATGGTTCCAGGAGTTGCAGCAGTTCAATTTTCAGGCAGGAGGAAGTCTAGAGCAGATCTAGGCTTCTACCCCAGGTGCAGCTGATTAGGACCGACTACGGTGGTGCCCATGTACAGCAGTATTGTACAGGCTGGCGATGAGAGGTAGTTTCTCATCCTAGTCATCCTGGTCGGGCTTGATATAGTGCCTCGGCATATGCTGCACCACACGGTTCATCTGTTCAGCCTGCCCATTGGCTTCGGGATGATTCCTAAAGTCATCTGAAGCTGGCTGCCCATTTGTTCAGTGGCCTTCTTCCACATCCCACTGGTAAACCGGACATCTCTATCACTAACAATGGTCTTGGGCAGTCCAAAATCACGCACCTAGTTATTCATGAATAACTGGATGACGTGCTCAGTCTTGGTAGTCTCCGGCATGGCAACTAGTCTAGGGTACTTAGTGAACCTATCCACTATGACGAAGTTATGCCTTTTGCCATTCTTGCTGGTCACGTTGGTATCCATGAAATCTATGGAAACACTCTGTCTTGGACCAGCAGGGATGGGTAGAGGCTTTAATAACCCAAGCGGTGCTCGAGTCTGTGGCTTGTCCCGCTGACAGACTTGGCAAGTGTGCACGTATTTCTTTGCATCGTCAAGCATGTTAGGCCACCAAAATCGCTGCACTAAGTTAGTAGAAGTTCTTGAAGCCAAAATGTCCCTTTTCATCATGGCACTCACCTATAAATAAACTAGGCAAACTCTCTTTGGATGGGACAACTAACCTCTTGAACCCTGCCTTTTCAAGAAAGAGCAACCCAGCCACCATTACAAACTCGTTAGACGTGGCCTTGTCCTGGACCTCGAGTTTGCGAATGATGTCCATTGTGACAGGGTCTTCCTTTTGGGTTTCCACCAAGGATGGAGATACATCGTTAGAGAAGCCAAACTTTGTTTTCGGCGCACCCAGGTGGTGTGCCCTATGTGACAGTACATCGGCAACCTTGTTATACTCCTGTCATGTAATTTAGCTTGAAGTCGTATTGATCTACGACTTCAATCCAGCGTTTGAGTGCGTCCGAGAGAATTTGTTGTCTCGACCCACTTGAGTGTCTAATGGTCAGCCCTCAAATAGAAGAACTGT